TTGACGTTTCGCCAGAGGCGCGAAATCGTTCGACAAACAAACCGTTCATTCCCGTCGGGCTGCCAACGGCGCTGCCAGACCGATGAAGACAACAGAACAAAAAAAAAAAAAAAAGTTCACTATATCTAGTTTAGCATGGACATTTGGGGCCTTGAGAGTTCAAAACACTGTGACTTGCGAAGTCAAGGCCAGTTTTTATGTGTGCCTGAGTGATGCCTCGAACATCCTTGACCAGCCAAGAAGAACACAAAAAGAAGCACGCTCGTAGCTTGAGTGTTATTCAGATGAATCATTCGATCTTTGGATACGGCCTGTCGATTGTACGCCCCTCAAGGGCAGTGGGATTTGCCTGTGAGCTGTAATTAAATAGTACTCTTGAACGGCGAAAATATCCAATGATGTGCTTTCCCAAGAGCAGGGTTAACCTGCCTTGAAACAACGAACACTCCTTGAGGAAAACACGCATTCTCGTTAGTCTACAGCAGTTATTAGGGGACAGTATTGCCCTCCAGATTGCCCTTGAGTGCAAGGTAGGGTAGGGCCTTGACGGTAGGGCCGTCATAAAGTGACTAGACTATTTCCACTGAAGGCTTGCAATATAGAGGCAATAGCACGTTAAACTTTTTTGTTTGTCAAAGCAGCAAGTGCGATTGCACCCCAACAACTAGGAGTAGTTCACATGGTTTCAAATAGTGTACTGGAAGAAAATAGACGAGGAGCATCATTTTATTAAATTTGACACGCTTTTTATTTACGCATAGTTGGAGGAGACGTAGACTCAGAAATGCCTGCATGCATACTCAACCTTTTATGCTCGGTGTGGTAACCTTGAAACCTTCCTGTAATTGACTTAGCGAATTGGAAGGTCGAGTTACATTACAATACAATAGTAGCGGGCCTAGTGGCAAGGTGGCGTTCCCCCTCCCAGCCACTCTGCTTGCGGGAGCACTGGAGCTCGACACCGCACGCCCTTTTTAATTTCAAAGCGGATTCTACAAAGCATTCGAAAATTGGTGTCAGCATTACTGAAAGTTTTTCCGCCTCTCCGAAGAGCAGACAAAGGGCCGCCTCAACTCCGCGATGCACGAAGGCGCATCTGAGACTGTTGTGACCGCAGAACTTTTTGTAACTGAATACGTACGCTATGTGACAATAAAACTGGTATTATCCTATAAGCCATCCTAACGGTCGCCATAGTGTCGGCTTTATTTTTTTTCTGATAACTTATTGTCTTGCTGTTCACTCTATTAGTGTTTTGTTTACTTTATCTGCTTTGCGGATTCATTAGGTAGGGGGTGCTTGACAGAGACTTCCCTCAAGTTGAAGAGATCGAGGTAATTACAGGAAATTACTACAAAATCAATTATACAGAGCAAACCAAAGAAAAAAAGAGAGAGAGTAGAGAAACAGCAAAGCTATTTGCTAAAATAACATAAATCAGCTTTAGTAATTATTAATAGTATTTATTACAAATACTCAAATGAAAATCAACAATGAATATCGTACATGATAAGAGACTAAGCTCAAGAACCGTCAGAATATGGTTACGATACGGTATTACTTTGAAACCGACTAAAATAAAATCATATCTTTAATCTTTAGATAGCAAAGAACAAATTCCATATAAACGTTCAATAAAATCATATTTTCTCGGAATAGGCTACATAAAATGGATACGGTGGCTGTGCATTTCACTATTCACATAAAAATACAATTCCAATACCAGCCAGAAACCTTCTGCATTCATTGAGAACTACAAAACGTTTATCACGCCCATGACTATGCCTTTTCTAATATGAGAAGTCACTCAAAAGGTTGAAGTTTTTCCGGTCATAGTTCTCTGTTATAGCCGGCACCTTTCGCTTTTGGTCTGTAAACGCGTTTGGGCTCAAGCTTTTTGTTAGTAAGCGGTAAAATTCATTTTATCTATCCTTCGCAGATTTTTTAATGTAGTATCCGGGTCTATTGTAAGCATGTCATATTTCCTGAAGTGTGACTGTGTCTTTGAATTTCTTTTATTCCCTCAATAATTCTCACACACGGGTAATATATTCTTCAGCGAAAGGATTAGTTTCATATATTAGACAGCAGTGGCTTGGCAGATCGCTGTGCTTCTATTTTGGAGTGTTCTGCGGAAAGCAAACGTTCAGAAGTGTTTGTTTGCTGTGCCAAGCTTAACGAATACAGCATTAAACACAAGCAAGCTAATTAGAGGTTGGATGTTTAGATAACGTAAAGGGTGTTCGCTAGAGCAGGCGTTCTCAAATGGGGGTCCGCGGAAGCATTCTAGGGGTCCGCGAAGCCCTACCTCATCAGTAAAGTCGAGCAATAAAAGTTGTGTTTTTTTGTTTTGTGTTTTCAGATCGAGAGGAAATGTTTTAGTTTTCTGGCGAGTTTTCTCGTGTTTATATCAATAAGAGAAGTCTACTCCACGCTAGTCCTTACTAATACTCATTTATTAAATTATTATTATATTTAACCTTTACCTGTCCCCTCCCTTCATCACGCACGCAGACCTCCATCAGCTCCGCCGATCCACAAGGGGTCTAGAGACATCGATGGTTGAGAACCACTGCGCTAAAGTATTGCAACACTGGTTCACGCTCATAATGAGTAATATAGCCAGTGTGATACCACTGTTAAGGTGCACCGCACCGTTGTGATACACGACTGCACAGCGGTACATTGTTCCACCAGATCGAAACGGGCAGGGGTGGAGGTTGAGCCCAGGGTCCCTGAGCTGCCCAAGTTGCTAGGCAGTTTATCAGTGTCCCACATCGAGATGCACACAACAACATAAGATTTAGTTCTTCTTTTAATAGACAAACAATTATTCACATAAGTTTGTCATAAATCAATAAAAAACACACTGAACCCAAGACACAAATAGGGCATGTACTTGTAAATCGAGATTCCTTGTGAGAAACGCATCTCCTGTCTCCCTACTCGTTTCTCTTCAATTATTCATCACCCTATGATTCATTCTGAAAGCAATTCGCGTGACCGTTATCATCTAAAAATACGCAAAGGTTCAAATGCTGGGATTCACAGAAAGGAAGCTAGCAAATCATTCGTTCTGAGTACCGTGCAATACCTTCTCCAGAACACCGAGCATGCCGTTTGGTGACCTAGGTAAACCAGAAGAGATTTCAAATTTTAAGTTAGAACGTTATCTGATCTTCATGCATTGCTAAACGCCGCCTGTAAATAGTTTGGACGATATCATCACGAGGTCAGTAATGATGTAGACGCTCCGTTCTTTCCATATCGATTACGTTATGACAATATCATTACTCTACTCTGGCTCCTGCCTTTGGTTTTAATACTTTGAGCCTTGAGTAAGAACGGGTAAATCTGAATTTGCTTCGCCGGCTTTACCACTCGCTTAGTTCTGCTTGGTATTGATGAAGGAAATACTGAATGACTTTAATTTATCTCGACAAGAAGCTATTTTATTTACTCATGTGTTTAAAATGAATTACTTGCCTTTTAATACTCATTATTAATTCTAACTCAGATTGACTTGCTAGAGTCAGCGATATTTGTTTTCTTTTTCCGGATGTCATTTTATTTTTACTCTGACTTACCACAGCCAGTATAGGTTATTCAGTATAGTTTGGCGGCTCTCAAAATAGCGGAAATGCGACAAATAAACAATCCAAATCGCGTTATCAGCAATGCCGTAAAAACATGTCTTGCTCCATCGTTATCAAAATGTCAATTACATAGTCAGAGAAATTAGTGCAAAAGTGTGTTCACTTTTGGAGAAAGCAATTTAGATAAATATTTTAACTAACAATTACTAGAAGTTGCAGTACCGTGAAATTCAATCGAATTACTCTTGTGATTACTTCATACAGGTAGCAATAAAGGAAATATTAAATTACAAGAGACATGAAAGAGTAACTATTGTGATTATTTGTTAACTGTCGAAGTTTGTCTCATGCCATTCTCAGTACAACAGAAACATTCAACGGCGGCTTCAAGCCAAGCCTAGCACGCGCCTTCTTAATCCAAAGCCAGAAACAAAACAAAAATCTACATGTTGGTGAACTAACTATGCTGATGTGTATTGCTGGGGTTGTGAAGAAAAAAAAAACTCACTCTGACTAAATCACCGACCAATAAAACTGTGTTGGTGTTTTGTTCATTCAGCAGTGCTAGATCAATACTATACCCTCTGACAGTTAAAGAACGCAGAAAGTGACGACTGTCGAGCATGATAATATTTGAAACTTACCAGTCTCCAATAAAGTTGAAGCAATAGCCACTAACAGCTCCGAATAACTAGTCACAAAAACAGAAGCGTGAAAACAAGAGAGTTCTAATAGAATGTTTCTGTCAGGGATTGTAAAATGTTCCAGTAATCAGGGGGGTTTTAAGTAGCCTCCACTTTCCTGAATTGTGCTATTTTACACCTTCTCGTGTACCGCGTTTCTCACATAAAACGTGAAATGGGACCCACATGTACCTCGAGCGCACGGAGGGACCAAGACGGGTTGAGGGCTGTGTAGGCAGGACGCGTTTTGTGCAGTCACAGCATCTGCTGTACCGGAAGTGGAGTTTTTCCTCCGGTTCCGGTCCACTTTTGGCCGCGTTTTCCCTCCTCTTCTCTTCCTTTTTCGAGCCGGGGGAAAGCTTTCCTCCGCTTGATGCCTTGGACAGATGCTTAGACCGTGCAGATCAGGAGAGTCCGGAGAGCCACTCACACCCTCTGATGGCTGTCATGCCTCTGCTGTTGTTGTCGATCCCCAATGTCCCGAAAACAACAAAGGAAAAGAGACGACAGCCAGGAAATGAGGTGGAAAGCCACACTATTTGCTCGGCTGATGTCCAAACTGAAAACTTACGCGCGCTCCGCAATTTCCACAATTTTTTTCAGAGACGTTTCCACCTCGACGGCATTTGCTGTGCCCTGTTTGTGCATTCATTTAGCCAAAATGAGGTGCCGGTGAGGTGTGCATTCTGACATTCGTGCATTTTGATTGATGCAGTTTTCCCGGACGACCAGCCCAAGTTCTCCCCGGCCTTTCGGCACCAGAGGAATCGGCGAGCCCACCCGGACGCTCGGAAACTGGACCGGGCGCAGCGCAGCTTCGAGAGGGCCCTCCTGCTCCTCATGCAATGGTGAGAGGCACCGCAAATATTGGGGCTTGGAACGCGTCCCCGACAGTGTGTTTTCCGCGTCCTAAAAAGTGTGATCTCTCAATTTCCGAACTGATGACGTCACTGAAGTTCCATGTTGACGCCCGCCGCCATCCTGGCGGTGTTAGAGTAGCGGTGATTCATGTGGCAGGCTCGCGTTCTGCTGCGAGTCGCTCTCCAGTTTGACATTCCAGGGAGGCTTCGACAGTCAGGAAATGAGATGTCTTGATGACAACGGCCCCCACAATCTCTCGTATTTTTTTCTTTTTTTTTAACTTTTGCATTTAACCGTCAGAGTCGCGACATCCGATAGCATGACACTCCGGCGTTTATGCCGTCATTTGTTACCACTTCGGCACCCCTTTCGATTCATGGGTAGAATATGACGCTTAACGAAACAAAAGTCGAAGGCGCTTTTTAAGCACCGTACTGTAACTTAATTGATCGATAATTTAACTGAATATTATGTAAGAACAAAAATAAATATATAATGTTTTTCCTTATGTATGCACATGGGCACGACAAGCGTTCATTAGAAAAAAAAAGCTAACGCATTGGTGGCTTGACAGGGCCCACCCCAATGCTTTAACAAAGGGGAAACAGGATCGTAAAAAAAATTGATAGGTCCAGACAATTTGAAACGTGAAATAAAGAAAAAACTGATATTCTTTTAATGTACACACATATTTTCAGGGCTACGTCGTTTAAGTAAAATGTCGAGATGAATTAAAAAAAAAAAGTTGTTTCTCATGAAACGATTGACGCCATATGATACCTTATCACCTGGATTGCGTGGGTTATTTCGATTTGGTACATATTCCAAATATTGCGCATTCGGAACGCTAAAACAGTTTGTGTTTTGTATTACATTAGATATTCAGTGAAAACACGGTGAATGTGCAGGCGAGCTGGCGATAACTAATCATGTCATATAACACCTGAGACTCTGGTGTCTGTCTGTTCCTTCTACTAAAAAGTTTCCAATTTCTTCTACCACAGTCTTAGGTGTTATATGACATGAAAGGATATTTAGCACAATTAAGTAAAAATGGTGTTGCGTGTCTCAAGTCCTAGTGTAATCTTGGGTGTTTATGCCCGATTTAAAAACAGTATTTCAAGAAACAAGTTTCTTTGGCGTCATGCAATGTTTACACTCAATACTTCTGAATTTTGTCAAGTGTAGGAATGTTACACTCGTCAAACTGTAAAGTGCTGAAATTATAGGACAAGAGTGCATGCAGCATCTGTCAAGGAAACTAAAGCAGGTCAAATAAAGGATCATGGCGGTATCTCAAAATGCAGTGCAACATTCAGCAGCATCACCACACTTACAAGAAACAAAAGCATGTATGCGCTAAAGCCCCTTCCGCCTGCTATCTTGGGCCAAACCAGGCGGCGCTACCGTCGACGCACGGGTGTAAAAAAAGCAAAATATAAAGATGAAAGGTGTGCTCGTCAGAGGAGGAGGGAGATGGAATGCCTATGCTGTCGGAGTGTAGTGCATGCTATAAGCTCATGTTGCCAATCAAATAACGCCGACTGTACAACGTCACGGCTTTCGTCGGCTTTCTTTTGAGCCCATCCTTCAAGGCTGGTAGGCCGTGACAGTTCGCTTTAAGCCTGTGTGTATGTATCTGCGTGTCTTTCAGCCTCTGACTGCGCTCTCACTCAAGTATAGGAAGGCCGTCTGCTAACTTGGGCCGATTCAGGCGGCGCTGCAGTTGACGCGCGGGTGTAAAAAGTAGAACATAAAGATAAAATATGTGCGCGTCAAAGGAGGAGGGAGAAGATGTCGCTACCTTTTTTATACAGGGGCATTAGTATGCGCGAGAGATGTTTAAAACTATTGTCATTGAAGAAAACGAAGCAACATGCGTCAGCGTGCCTTACATCAAGCTAAACACAGAAGAAAAACGGTATTTTTCAAATAAACTTCTGCTATCGTTTTATTAATGACGGTGAAACATCTTATCTCTATATCCCCAGTAATTTCGCAACCTCGGTGCTTGTTGCTCGACACACTCCCATCATCTGCCATAAATTCTGCAACAACATCAATAACAATAACAACAACAATAATAATGAAAGCAATAATAATAATAATGATTTCATTTACGCAGGATGTATTCAAAACGACACTAGGCAGGTTCGTCGAAGATTCAAAGCAAACAAGGGCTTGTAGGACTGGACCTAAGTAGCAGTGGTAGTATATAAGGGAGTTTTGTAATATAATAAAATAAAGCAGAAATACACCACATGGTCTCTTCAGTCGTGAAAGTTTACGCAAAAATTTCAGTCAGAAAGTTATTGTGAAAGTCACGTAAAAAATACACAACAAAAATGTAAGGTATTTTTTAGTAGAGGGGAGAAAAGAGGTATAGCATAGAAATTCCAGTCGCACAGCAGCAGAACTTGATGATAGAAGATGTCATACTCATGCACACAGACGCACGTACGCGCACACACAAGCACACAGGCATTTCCGCATTACTCTATACAAACGATGTTGACTCGAAATGAGATTCGTGTGAGGAAGCAACACCAATTATGACGAAACAAGAAAATTATATATCACGAGGCTTCTTCATCGACGGAAAGAGTGCGGAATGCCTTTTTATGTTTCTTTTTGGAAGTGATCTCTGAAAAGCTCGGTGGCAATAGGTTAAACATCTGCGGGAGGTAGTACGAACGCATATTTTCGGACGTAGCGAGTATAACATATCAGAGTGAGGAGCCTTGAAGACTCGTGGAAATGGAGCGTGCTGGTTAAGTTACTGTGTTTGTGGAGAATAACATAGAGGAACAAAACCGGACGACACGTTTCTCCGTGTCGTCCGGTTTTGTTCCTCTATGTTATTCTCCACAAACGCCAGAGCCTTGAAGCCTCTCGAAAGTTTCGTGAGATGTGGCGAAGAGGCTTAAAATCGTCATTCCAGTTGTAATTGAGCACAACTGTCTCCAGAAAAACGGATTGAAAAGTGGGCATTGATAGCGTTAGAAAAAGATCTAAATCCGAAGAACCGCGGTTGTACACCACGCTTGTCAATATTCATTTCAAGGCCCTGCTGATTTCCTTTTGCCATAGTTTGGAGCATTTACCAAAAATACCTTTGCCATATTGCAAATGGAAATAGGCTAATGAATAAGCAACGCGCTTGCGTAGAACGAAAGGCACGAATGCTTTGGTATAATAAGCAAACAGGAAACACTTCGTAACTTAGCACGCACTTTAGAGAGATGGGAATTCTATGATAGGTCAGAATCAAAATGTATTTCGAGATATTTGACAGTGTCGGAATATGGGGCTCCATTACAATAACACGGGGAACAGTGGGACGTGCGGGGGTAAAGAGGAATATTTAAAGAAACGACTTTTGGAGGATTGTGAAAGCGAAGAAGCTTTGCTTTAGTTATATTTAGAGGAATCGATTTTTGGATAAACTAGTCTATCAGTTTCTTAGAACAGCGCTGAAGTATCCCCAGAGCTATCGGGGAGGAAAGTTGGCGTGTCAATAAAAGAGTGTCGTGAGCGTATTGCTAGAAAATACAATTCGAAAGAGCAGTATATATAACATTAAAGTAGATGTTGACAGGAAGTGGGGAGAGGATAGAACCTTTAGGAACGCCAGCTTGTAAATAAACTTTGGTACTATGTGCAGCTGCAGCAAAAAAAGATTAGGACAAGTGAGAGACGACCGGAGCGGCAGAATCGCGACACGCGGCGCTATTGTTCCCGAGCTCACCGATAGCAGGAGTTCCAGTCACGTTCCATGTCTCAACGCGGGGGTGGTCGAGCAGCCCATCCTAAAGCCCGTGTCGCGATTTTGCCGCTCCGGTCGTCTCTCACTTGTGCTAACCTTTTTCCGCGGCAGCTGTACATCATTGATTGACTGAGAGCGGTCAAGTAAGAAAGTATTTAATAGTGCAGAAAATGGGCCGCCGAAGCCAATAGATGAAAGCTTTTGAAGTAGAATTGAATGACTATCTGTATCGAATTCTTTCGGAACGGCTAGAAAAACAAGCACAAGTAAACAGGTTATTGTCAAAAACAAAGTTCAGGTCCTCGGATAGTGCGTCAAGAAGTTACTGCGTGTCTCGACCATCAATCGATCCATGTTGATTCGGAGACATAGTGTCATGTTTGTTAATAAACAAATATATTGTATTATATATGAATTTTTCTAATATCTGGACAAGGCAAAGATAAAATAGATATAGAGCGATAGTTTTCCGACACTGTTTCGGTGGACTACTTTGAGCAGAGGCTCTACAACAGTGAGTTTTAACTTGTCAGGTATGATACCATAATCGTTTATGGTATTGAACAGAAGGAGAAGTGTGTTTTGAATATAACAGATGCTTCTACGGATGTCCTTCAGTCATATGCCGTCAAATCCTGGGGATTGGTTGGGTTTGAGGCTCATTACTATAGATTCCAGATCTTCTATAGTCATCGAAGGAAGCAAAGCTGAAGCCTAATTGCAGTAAGAAAGAGAGAAGGAATTGGGGCTGTTCGTTGCTTTACCTTAGAAGGACATAAAATACTGATTGAATAGGTTGGCAGATGCGAGTGAATTGTGTCCCCAGACATCGTCATATAAGCTGCCATGTGAACGCGGAGAAACGCCTAACAGTACATTATTCAATGCCCAAGTTTTGGCTGAGTTCCCTTAATATTCGAAGAACTGTTCTTGAAAATAAAATCACTTCGCCGAGCGAATAAGGGCATTTACTTTGTTGCGGATGGCCCTAAATTTCGCTTGTAAGATTTGGTTTCGTGGTGAGCGGCGGCAACGCTTCAAGGCTAACGCTTTAGATTTAAGCGGAGGCAGTATGTCATTATTTAACTAGCGTATGTTTGCTTTCCGCTGCTTTAAGTATATACATTTTCTGAGGTGTCAGAAACTGTGCCAGGAGTTGAACAAGTGAATGGTCCATTTGGGAAGGAGAAATCCAGACTTGAAAAGTGGCCCAGTCGTAATTGGTTATGCATTTGTCGAAAGTACGTTGGTCAACTTTCTCAATACGGCGGATGTTAGTACTAGTGTCAACAAACGTCGAGCCAGGAAATTGTGAGTGACATGTCACGAAGTAATGGTCTGATATTTTTTGGGTTATAATTGCCCAGCTTGTTGTTGTGGTTGGGTTCCTTAAGTTTATGTGGTCAGTTGAAGAACTGAAAAGTTTATTGCTTATGAATTCTTTCCTTATAGGAGTGGGAATGGTGGCTTCGACTCCGTATTTTGATAGCGAAGTAAGGTAGTCGCAGGCATAGTGATTTCGAGGGCTTCATTAGGTCAATTTTTATGTCACCTGTCAGACAAAAGGTTGCATTTAACGGAAGAAATTATAAAGAATATTGTAACTCGTTGAGAAATTCCTGAATGCTTTCAGAAGATGAGCGATAAATAGTAAGTAAGTAGATGCCATACGCGAAGTTAAATATACACAGTGCTATTGACTCACAAGAAGAGAATAAAGCTGTTATCTTAGAGTTAAATAATAAAGGTTTAAAGAATACCGCAATACCACACCCACGTTTGTTATCACGGGTGCAGAAGGAGCTGCTAAACCCGGAGAATTAAAAAAATATCAACTTCTTCGTTGCGAAGATTCTTTTCGGTAACAACAAATGCATGTGCTGTTGGAAGCACGGAGTCTTTTTTATATTAATATGAAATAAAATAAATGAGGTATAGTGACTAGGCTGGAAGCTTTGGGAGTATGAGTGAAAGTCATTAAACTGAAAGTAAGTGACCATACAAGCCTATACATTTTGTTCCAAAATATCAGCGTTGGGGATGCGGAGCAAAGCAGAATAAACATTATTCTTAGCGAAAATCTGACCATGTCGTGCCCACACGAATTTGTATCTCTTGTATTTTATTTTGGTTCGCGCCATCCAGAAGAGTTTCTTGTTGACACCTGTGAGTTGGTCGTTAAAAGTGAATTTTAAGTTGAGATTCTTTATGAAAGAGAGATCTCAAGCGGCCGCGACAGGCCATCCAGTGTTCTTTGAGAGGAACCGAAAAAAAAAAAGAAACCAAAACTGAGAGAATGGCATCGTGCCTTGCAGCAGGCAGTGAGCACCCTCCACATAAGCTTGCTGAAAGCTTTAAATGTTCAATTGACCTGCAAAGTCTGGGAGGATGCCATTGAGATTCTCCTTGGAGAAAAAAGTTAATACCACGAATTTCCAGGAAAGATGAACAATTGGACTGATCGGTGGAGTTTTGTGCGGCCTTCAGTTAAATTTTAAGCGCTTGGTTGTTCTGGGTGGCTTTCAGTTGCTGATTTTGAAGCGCGTGGTTGGATATTATTGATTTGATTACAAGGATTTATTTTCTGCTTGGAGTTCCTTGACCGCTTGGTCTTGAGCTTCTGCCGAGTTGACGAGTGAATCATACTGGGTCGAAACAAAGGGCACAGATCCTTTTATTTTAGTCACACAGTCGCGCAAGGCGTCGACCACGAGTTTCATTGGTAATAGGGCATCGATTTTGGGGTGCAGGTCTTGGAGATCATGAACGGAGACTCTCCAAGAGAGCAGAAAATCAAATCTCTCATTAAGCGTTCACAGCTGCGCTCCGAATGCGGTGCACTCGGTTTAAGGGGTCTGGGTGTCACAGTTTAAAGTAGGACTCGGATTTGAGGACCCGTCCCGGCGTGCAGGGCATTGCCATTTCTCCTGCTTGGCAGTGCTCATAGCCTTAAAAGTGCCGTCAGCAACGCCAGAGCATTTTTCCCCAAATGATAGTGTCGTAAACAATCGTTGCACTTCATGCATCTGCCATCAGTTGGCATAGGAGCTGAATAAACTCCGCAAACATTGGCCATGACTTGAGAATGACGATGACGGGGAATAATGATATTAATAATAATAATAACAATGATTATGAGGATGGTGAAGATGGTGGTGGTGGTGGTGGTGGTGGTAATGGTGGTGGTGGTGGTGGTGGTGGTAATGGTGGTAGTGATGGTGGTGGTGGTGGTGATGATGATCACGATTCGGCGTTTCGTGAGCGCCGAGAGTGCACGTGCAGCCAATTCGCAGGGTGGAGGGCCCATGGTCGAGGCTGGGTGTGTGAAAGCGACGGCCTGCTGTCTTCAATCTGTCATCGACATTAGACCGTTTCAATGTTGAGTTACAAGCCGAATCCATTATCAGCGTTGGTGCGTACGTTACGCTCTCTTTTCAAAGGGACGAAAACGTGCGCTCTGTGCTATGGAGATCGCACGCTAGCCTGTTGATTAGTACATACCGCCCAAACCTCCAGCCTCCGTGGCATGGGCGACTTGCCTTGCTGCGGCACCTCGGCTCTCCTGAACAAAAATTTAATATCCATATCAACAGATATTAATGTGACGTGTACATGGCTCTTACTGACGTCAAATCAGCTGCTATTAGGATGGCGTCGCTGATGAGCACGTGCCATTTGCAGTGGATTTCTCGCACCACCGTATTGGTTTTTGTCGGCAAGGACAAGTAGGTCAAGGCCACCAGCATGGCGCAACGTGGTCATGCGCGAGCCATGTATATGGAACCCGTTATGCCTCGGCGTCACCTTTTACGCCATTTTCGGTGGCAGGTACCAGGCTTCCCTGAAGGACGTCCAGACGGCTGTGGCCCAGCTGGACCTGACCCAGCTCGAGCCCGTGGCCATGTGGCGGGACCTCTGCCTCCGGCTCTACCCGGACACCTGCGACCACGGTCAGCCGTACCGCTCCCTAGACGGCTCCTGCAACAACCTGGCACGGCCGTCCTGGGGCAAGGCGCTTACCTGTCACGCACGCATGTCGGAGCCTGTCTACAGTAACGGTGAGTCGGGACATGCGTGTGCACGCTACAAAAGAGAAGCTAAATACCGTGAGAAGTGAGTTCCTGAAAACGGAACTAAGTATACGTTACTAGTTAACGAGATAAAAAAATTTAGTACTTCAGCCCGAATTTGACCCGTTACTTTCGTATTACTCGCACAAGCACCACTTAGACCATCATCACCATTTCGTTCTTTATCTATGTACCACTACTGCATCATCATTAAGTCGCAGTTACACTGTTCATACACCATAAAAGAACACGACGTTCACTGCAGGCAATGCAATATAGTTAGTCTGCGGGCACGCCGCACATATGTCTGAAGCCTTTTTGCTTCCTACATAAGTATGTTTCCAACATGTATGCAGACAGCTCCTGTATAACCAATATGACATGGCCGTGTCATACAAGGGATGCCTCAGACAATGGCTGCAGACTGTCCTTTGTATGATGTATGAGCAATTTGACCGATGTTGTGCACTCGGCGCGGCAGGTCTTCGTGGTACGGCCGACTGGCATTGCCGATGCGCCGCGGCTTTCGTGAGCAAAAATGAATACCAGTATATAATTGTAATTATAAGTGAATGAATGAATAAATAAATGAATAGTATAAAAATAATTCATTGCGAAATTAAATTAGATAAATTGATAAAAAATAAATTATTTAATAATTAGCGTATCTTCACGGATGCCTCAGTTTTTTCGCCGGGACTCGGAGAGTATAGTTGAAAGCTGAAACTGTAGTACGTTTTGTGTGAAGCGCGCCCACCATTTGTATCTACGCTAATTTGTACGTTTGATGTTGTGCATATGTTATGTTTCTTCGTTTCATATTCAAGTGAGCGTCAATGTGAATACCCTCCTGGTTGTTTTGGGGCACATAAAATAAACATCATCATCATCATCATCATCATCATTATTATCATTATTATTAATACTGTAATGTCTCGGTTTTCTAAAGCAGTAGCCGCGCCTACCAGTATTATATATCGTTAATAATTCCTCGTTTTTAATTCAATTGTGAGCATACTGAATTTTGTAGCCAGCAATGTGTCGGTTCTTGGAAGCATCTGTTATAAAAGTGCGTAAAAAAAACAACTAAGAAAGCCATGAGCACTCACTTTGCACAATCTGGTTTCTTACTCAACTATATTTATGCTCTCTAGCAAGTCACTCAACTATATTTATGCTCTCTAGCAAGTCAAGGGGTGTATCCCAAGTCCAGGCGTCTTTTTTTTTTTCTCTTTGTAATGAATGGGAGAGTGTCCTTTCTTGGTGATTTCGCGTTGAACACCAATTCCGCAAGCTTTATACGCAGTGCACTGGTCAGTGGTAAAGTACCCTCAGTGTGGTTCACTTCTGTTTTTCCGCGCGTTGCCCGAGTGCAGAGACAAACTTTGCCAATGCCAGTCGCCCCGTAAAATGGGAATGATACACGTCCTACATCACTAGAGAGAGAGAGAGATTTGACCCCTGGGCCGTTAGAACAGAGAAAACTTCGTCGTTGTGATTGCGCAATCTTCCCCAAAATTTCTGGGTCAAACTGTCGCAACTTACCGGAGTTCGCCGGGAATCCTCCTTTTCACTTAGGTTTGACCGCTGCCAAACGTGGCATTTTCTCGTCGAAGCAGAGCTTGACCGGACCAGTTCACAAAGGCGAAGCAAGGATGTAACATGGGATTAACCGAACGAACCACGTTACGTTTATTTATTGAAGGCCTATTCGGGAGGAGGCGTCGAGGCTACCAGTCACCGGTACAAAATTCAATAAATATCTTCAACTATAACCGTGGATACACTGACATATTTTGTTCGCATTTTGTTAATTCCCTATCTCGCGCTTTTTTTGCTTTGAAAGCCACCGGCGCAAGCTGGGGTGAGAGACAGGTTTGGTAACTTGTGTGGTACGCCTTTCCCCCAGAGATAAATAAATGTGGTTACTCCTTACTCATCAAAGAATAACCAAAAATATGTTACTCCTTCCTTTTCTGGAAAAGTAACTGAGTAGTTACTCTGTTACCAAAAAAAAAGCCAGCGCAATCGTGTAACCTGCTACTATACAGTTTGTTTCACCTTAAAGGCCGACGACCAGACTCGAGATTCTGCAAGGCAGAAGATCCTCCTCACCATGGGAGAGGAGGAAAGAGGCAACGGCGGTCAGGGTAGAATGGGGGAGAGGAGGAAGAGAGGAAAAGTAGAAAGTGCGAACTGGTCGTCGGTCCTGAAGTAAAGACGCAGCCGACCCTCCAAGAACGAAGTATCGTAAAGGGGTATTCACACGAGGGAGAAATCCCGGGGATTTCTCCACGGCACGCGCATCCCGCGACGAAAACGTCAGGCTTTGCGATGTGCAAAAGCCTCGCGTTTTCGTCTCGTGATGCGCGCGTGCCGGGGAAAAATCCCCGCGATTTCTCCCTCGTGTTAACACCCCTTAAGGCGTTGCGTACAAGTTTGAGTCGAGGTACATAACGACATAGTGAATGGATGAGTTGTTAACCCGTTGGCTTAAGGCGCGATCTTGGCGACGTTCGAAACTATTAGCCCGTTCGACAGTAAGCTGAAATTTTCACCGACTAGCTAGGGCGTCCCTTGAGGACTGATATCAGAAATGGCTGTGGTGTGTGTGTAGCGCAGCCAAACGTAAGTTGATTTTTTTTTTATTGCCCATTTCACTTTTTATTACAATAGTCGCCTTGTGTTCGCTGACATTTTTTGCCGATTTGGTGCAGTGCGTTCAGAAAATAAGCAGCAGCTCAATTATGAATTATCAGATCTCGCGCATGCTTCCACATCCCCGTGACTCGGCATTTTCGAACTGGTTAATGAACTCTGTAAAAGTGTTTCCAATGAGGTAATCTAATTTTTTCTTCCGAATCTTATCTGATTTGTGAGGGCACCATAAATCAGCATTAACGCAAAAATGTATTTCGAATGTTTTATCTGTATTATTCTATCCAGTAACTAACAAGAGTTCGCTGATTCCAAAATAATAAAACATAATTACTTAGCACACTAAAAGACTCTGCAATTTTATTTATTCTACAAAGACAAGTCACAGTGTTTTATTTTCGTTAAAAAAAAGGTCAAATCAATTGAGTTCTGCGCCTATCAACAGTTATTCAACGTTTCCAACAAAAAATGTATTCAATGCCGAAGTGTCACATATAACCTAAATCCCAACAAATAAATCTCGGCGGATTTGTTAAATGTATCGAACCGCAAGGACCTTGGCAATGTTCTCGTCGGTATCCCACTCGATCACGACGACGACCGAAGAACGCCGTGACGAAGAGTGAAAACGTGTTGCAACCACCCGCAACGCACGACTTACTTTCTCCCGGGTTGCTCGAGAATACACATCCTGATACGCCAGTCATGACCGCGCTCCTCTAAGCGCCGCTAAGACTGGGCCGTTCATAAGAAGAACCGGTAGGACGAGCGTCCGTGCGATGGCATTTGGTGCTCCGCATTCGGATCTGACAGTCGCGACAACCCCCCACCGCTCTCGCCTTCTGCGGTTTAGTATCGAGTGCAGTTATTTATGTGCGAGCAGACACGTGGAAGTCCGCCATCAGACGCGATCGCGACGGAGGCAAGGCCGACAAAGTGCGGGCCGCCGTGGGCAGTCGTGGCTTAGAGACCGGCACACGAGTGCGATGCGTTTCGCTTCGAGACCTGCCGTTGTTCCCGGACAGACTGACGGAAAACATCAGATTTGTGTGCTACAGACGACAGGCTTCGCTCCATTCGGACAGGGGAGTTTAGGTGCCGTTTGGTCCGGCTTCAAAAGCTGTTCAGGTCGGTTCTTTCAATGGGACCAGTTCATGCTTTTGCATTAAAAAGTGTCGCTTTTTGGTTCGGTCTAGTTCCTCACTTTGTTGCCGGGAAACCTGCGCTGTCAGATTTTTTGTTTGTGTGTTTTATGACGTCTGCGACTTCTACTGTTCTCGGTCGTGAAAATTGTTTTCAGCGTACAACAAGCTATAGCACATTAGTACCAGTGTTGGCGGACACACGTTAGAAGTAACGGCGGTACGGTAACGCGTTACTTCTTTCGATAACGTAGTAACGCACTCATTACTTTTTGAAAGCAGTGGCGGGTAACGTAGTTACGTTAGCTATTTCAAGGGACGGTAACGTAGTCAGTTACGCAACTCATTTCTTCTTCTTCCCAAGACTTAAAAAAAATTACACTTATATACCTTTTCGGGTTTTTAGGCGCCAAACTGTGAGAACATTTCTTTTCTGCGTTTTTTTTTTTCTTTCGAATATTTAGGTGAAATCGTAAAAAAGATAAATTAATTATGTTCAGTTTCTGCATGATCATATCGTTGTTTCAAATTTGGACTCATGCACACCTGTACCATCAAAAAAGTAAAACGTGTTAATTCATCAAAAAGTAACGCAAAAGTAACGTGCGCTACTTTTCATTACAAACGTTAACGCATTCCTTTTATTTTGAGGCAACGTAGGTCGGTAACGCTTCCCTTTCATTTGCAAGTAACGAGTAACGGATTTCGTTACTTTTTTTTCGGTAACGCCTACAACACTGATTGTAACCTGCTCATCAATTGCTTACGATACTCCGCGTCGAGGTCGGAACTCCGGTCGAACTGGGGCCCTGATCTGGTGCCCCAAGCCGGACATTTCGCCCGAATGTCGGCGAGATTTCTGATCGCCGCGATTGGCCAATCGCGGCCGTCAAGAAATCTCGCCGACTTTGCTGCTGTACACTTGGCGAAAAACGTCGACAAGAAATCCGGCCGCTATGATTGGCCGGCGCTAAAGTCAACCGCGGCGTCGGCCAATCACGGCCGCCGAATTTCCCGCCGACTCTTTCGCCAAGTGTCCAGATTCGGGCCCCCAGTCTAAAAAAAGTCTGTGCGTTTACTTTCCCGCACAACACTCGAGAGCCAATCACCGCAACTCACGGAGGCAGCTCAGCGAATGACGATGCCGAAACATCTGTTTAGACCAAAAAACGCAGACTGAGTTGTGAG